CCCTGTACGATTGACAAAGAGGAAAAGACGTCGATTGTTTTAGTTTTGGATTAAATATCATAACTTCGATGGCTCATCATAAGTCATATAAAATCAATTTTTTTTAAGGCCTAGAAATGTGATGGACTCTAAGCGACGGCTTACCTTGCTTCCATGGACCCTGGCTTTGGTAGAACGATTTTACTCACTTTGTGATATAGGTTAAAGAATATATTGAGTTGTTCGTGTACTTACGCAAATCCATTGCGCATTAAAGGAAGATGTAGTAAAATTGTGTGGATCAAAGGCAGTAATAGGTATACTGCCTTTGCTAGATCTAAATACATAAAGAATCACTTGAAAGAATAGTAAGACTTTATTTCTTAATATAGAGCATACTTGAACATTTTCATGTTTTAACAAGGTATTTGTAACCTAATTGAAAATTTTCTATTTTTTTGAGGTCATATTTCTCGATATTTCGTGTAATAAGATAAGACGTATAATATTTTCAACACCAAAATGTTGTGTGTATGGTTAGAATTTTGATAATGTCAACATAAACACAAAACTACACCAAATAAATATTTTATTTCCATACTAAAAAGAGAATACATTTTAAATGAAAAAATTATAATTGCAGGGTAAATAAATTAAATACAATTCGATTATATAATGTTTATAAGTTAATTAATAAACCATCCAAACCCTCTCAAAAACCTAAATTACTCAACCAATCACGGTTTAACTATTAAATCCGCCAGGCGGACGTGGCAACCAAAGGCCTCTCGTGCCAACAAAGCACCAACTCTCCATGTCGTTTCGCCACGTGGAATCCTCTAACTTGCGCTTTCTCCACTAAACACTCAGCTTGAAAGTCAACAAACTGGCTCAACGGAATCGACCTCATCCCCGCCGCACAAAACGCTTCTCGCCACGTCATCTCTCCACCGCCTCGTCTCTTACACGCCGTTTCAACCGCGACCGCGATTTTAGGCCGCAACACAAACGCATCTATCATCTTCTTCACCAAATCTCCGGCTGCTGCGGCGTCGAGAGATTCCAACACCGCCGTGTAAAACTCGAGACCACTAACAAACTCTCTCTGAAACGATCCAGCACCGGAGATTCCATCCCATCCTTCACTATCGACGAAGACGAGGACCTTCGGCGAAACTCGCCGTAACTCGTTAACGAAACCACCGATTCCGTTTACACGACGGAATATCACCGGAGATAACAAAACGACGGTTCTTTCTCCTTCCACGAATCTAATCGATTTGAAAGATAACATCTCGAAGGTTCTCATCAAAACGAAATCGATCTGGAATCGGATTTTCAGATCTGCGGCGAATTGAGCTAAGTTTTCTTTAACGAGACGCGTCTCCACGGCGGATTCTTCCGTTACAACCGCCGTGATTCTCAGAAAACCACCGATGATTGATGATGATTTCTCGGCGATTTCTCTCATGAGCGATGCGTATTGACCTCCGAATCCGATTTCGAAATCGATTACGTGAGCGAACGTCGAAGAAGATTGTTGTTGTTGCGAGGTTAGAGAATCGAGGATTGCTTGATTCGCCGTGAAATGAGAGAAGAGAATGATCGGAGATATACCGGAGAATTCTTTGATTGCTCTGATTCTCTGAACGATCTCTGTCCATGGAGTTAACGGGTTTTGATTCCGGTTCGACCCGGTTAAAAGCGATCCGAGAGCTTCTTTGAAGTAAAACGCTGCTCGTTGAAGCGGTTTACCAGTCGGAGATCGGAGACGGTTATTGAGCCGTGACAATACCACCTGAGCGAGTTGTAACTCGTCCGAGTCGATACAGTCCACTACTCGGATTAGTTCTTCGATGAAATCAAAACCTCCATCATCAAACCCGTAGACATCGGAGGAGGATCGAAACTCCGGCGGATTAAGCTGATCGGGAAAAACAGGAAGCTGTGGGTCGACGGAGAAGTGGTGCGAAATGGCAGAAGTTGGGAAATTTGATTTCAAAGTAGGGGTAAAATCGTCATCTAATTCTAATTCTCTCATGATTGAATCCCAATCCATGGAACGCATTACATGATCATCTAATGGGAATTGATTATCACTAGCGTCGGTGATGACTGGTTTCTCCTCCGCCGTAGCAGGGCTTGGGCTTCTACGGAGGTCGAGCACCGAAGTTGGCTCGTTATAGCCGACAATTGAGTTACTGTTGGTGTTTTCCGATGAAGCAGAGGTTCTCATGTCTTGTGAGGAAGAAGAAGAAGGTAGAGAGGAGATGTGTGATTTGGTAAGCTTTGATTAATGGAGGTTTTGAATTATATATAATTATATCGAAATGGTAAAGATTC